CACTGAGGTACTGCAGCTCCACCCTCCCGGAGCAGGAGTCAGGGCCGCCCACCAGCCTGGAGTCTCTGTACGCTAAATACAAAACATGGAGTTATTATAACTGCAGGATTATAAGAAACAAATCCAGTGCAGAGTATCAGCAGGTCAAGTCTAACCCAAGAAGCACTGGGCTGGAAGCAGGGGAACGTCTTTGACGAGCTGGTAGGTCATCAGTGAGCACATGCATAAGGATTCAATATGGGCAACTATTTCATTTATAGAATATTCTGCACAGAAAGATGTATTTCAGTAAGTTTACTGTACACTGAGGAGGCAGACAGTGTGCAGGGTTAGATCTGAAGTGTTTTGTGTGTTTTAATATATTTTGCTGTGTCCAGATTAAAATAACTTTTGTTTGCATTTAATATGACAGATAATGTGTTTGTTCCATATATTCGGGCTTCCAAAAGGATCCTTGTTTTGAGAGGAATGGATGGGTAAAAGATCTTTGTTGGTAGAGAGAGGATGCTACACTACAAGAGCTAAGCTAACCGTTCAAAGCTGATTTGTTAGGAAACCAAATAAAGAAAAAGTTCCTTCACATCCACTGTAATCTGACTCCTTTTATCCACGGCTCTGGTGACTTAGGGAAGCATTTACTATTAACAACTTAAGAAGGTTACACGTATAAGATCACAAAGCACTGTGTCTGACTACTCATTCATCCACCTTACATACAAGGTTCATACATATGCATATTATTACTTTATTAGTATACTATTATTAGTGAAATCTGGAATTCAGCAATAAATTTTATTTGTTGTGTACATGTCAATAAACACATTATCTAATAATAAAAGTTACATTTCCTCCAAATAGTTGTAATATTGTTCTTACCAGAACACACCAGTGCCACTGCATTTTCATGTGAGCAATTCTGCATTGAGGGTGTATTCAGGCAGTAGGAAATACTGGTTTCATTTCCTTTACACTGGATCTTCTCTCTCCGCATTTGCTCGCTCTCCCCCCTCCCAAATGCGCCCCCCCCCCAGCACCTCCACTGGGATCCCACAGCCTAGCTGCCGACACACAACCTCTGCGTCCTGCAGGTCAAAGTCAGCATCACACACGGTGCCCCAGGTATCAATCTGCTGTATCTCCACTCTCCCGGAGCACAGGTGTGGACCTTGTGCCAGCCTGACCCCACGGTGACCTGGGGTTTAAGAGAAACCAGTGATAAGAAGGATACTTACTAAATAAATCATACAACAAAATTATCTGTATCCATTTCTGTAATGGGTAGTTTTTAATATTGAACATGGGTGTGGTTTAACCAAGAAGTTTGCAATTTTGTGGATATCCCCATGGGAACAAATCTTGTAAGAATACATAACTTCTATTATATTAAGCATATACAGAAAGTTTAGCACGTTGCACTGATAATACATATATAATCCGCACAAAGTTATACATAAACATTGCCAATATCTTTAATAACTTTTTCTTATGCAAAACATTGCTATTTCTCTCCACAGCCGAAAGTTTGAAACTATT